CCGAGCCCAACGCCTCCGCCGCCGCGCCGGGCGGCGGCGCGCACCTCATCGCCGGCGCGGCCGACTCGGCCAGCGTGGAGAGCGGGCTGGCCGCGCAGCGTGCCCGTCGTGGCGCCGCGCTCCAGGCCGGGCCGGGGTCCCCCTTCCGCGGCAGGCTGCGGGCGCGGGTGGTGGTCGCGGACCTCAACGCGGCGGGGGGTAAGGACTATGTCGTCTACCAGGTGCGCGTCGGCGACGACGTCGGCGAGTGGACGGTGGCGCGGCGGTACCGGAACTTCGAGGTCCTGCACCGCCAGCTGAAGCAGGTCCCCTGCTACAGGCAAGGTGTTACTTTTTTCTGGGGGGGCGGGAGAGGGGGGAGAAGGGGGAAGAGGGCTGAAAGGGGGAGAACGGAGTGGGAGTGTGAGGGCATGTGGGGCGGTGCAAGTCTCCGTGCCCTCCTGGGGTCGCAAGGGTGCCCTCCTTGGGATCTTGGCTGGGCCCCGGCTGTCGCACCTGGTGCTGCCTCCTGCAGTCCCCCTCGACGCTTCAAATCCACATCCTCCCCCTCATCCATCCACACCTCTCCCAAAGGCTCAAGCTGCCACCCAAGCGCGTGTTCGTGCACTCCCAGGACGTGGACTTTGTGGAGGAGCGGCGCGTCGCGCTCGACGCCTACCTTCAGACGGTGCTGGCGCACCCGGTGCTGCAGGGCAAGCTGGGGTTGGGGGGAAAGGGAGGAGAAGTGGGGTTGTTCAGTGCGGGGACTGGAGCGGCAACAGTGGACAATGCTCCCGGCACCAAGTGCTTGCAGCCAGGCTGGGCGGGCTTGCGGTGAGGCGGCCGGACTCGCACATGCTGCCCTCTGCCAGGCACCAGGTTGTAGCCTGACGGGCAATTTGTGAGGATCACAACACGCCACCCCCCCCCCTGGCCCGCAGGCACGCAGGACGTAATTGAGTTTTGCCGGCCTGGCTCGGAGGTGTATGAGCTGTCCCCCTGCACGCGCCCGATGCACCAAAACTCCAAGTGGGTGGATGGGGGCTGGGGCAGGGGGTTGGGAAGGGAGGTGCGGCCAGTGGGGACCTGGGCCACCATAGATGCTGTGGTGGCGAGGTCGTGCCTGGGCATTGGGATTGGCGACAGAGGCATGCTGGCCAGCCATGGTCACTGGGTGGAGGCATCGCAGGCGGAGCGGTGAATTATTCAGCCAGCCAGCGTGCGACGACCCGGCCTGCACCCAACAATCACCCCACCTCTTCCGCGGATCAGCAGTGAGTCCAACCCCGTGAGACGCAGCCTGTCTCTAACAACCCCCATCCTCAACGTCAAGGACATGCTGTCAGACGTCACCAAGTCTGCAGTCCAGGTGGGCGGGGATGCAGCGCGCGATGCATGTGTGACGAGGGAAGGCAGGGGAAGGGTTGTGCAGCCTGGACATGGAGGGGGTGCGCCCGCAAGGAGGCAGGCACCGAACGCCACATGCACGCCAGGTCCCCCTCAGAAATGTGGATTATCATCGTTTGCAAACATCCTGGGCCCCCAGGCATCGACGGATGCCGTCCTGGACAGCGCCAGCGTGTTCAAAGCAGGGCTCAAGAAAGGCAGGGCGCTGCCCATCTTCCCCAGCTCCTCCAGCCTGACCTCCAGGGGGGCCAGCGGGGGTTCATCCCTGAGCCACGCGGGGTGGAAGTCCTCTGACCCCAGCTTCGACGAGGTGGGGTGACTGGAGCAGGGTCGGCTGCGTTCCTCATGCCTGCAGCTGGTCGGTCCCCCTGTCACCTACGACCACTCACACTCCGTTCTTTCCAGGCACACGGGGACCACACTGCCATCCAGGCCGCAGACGCAGCGCTGCGCAGGGAGCGAGGGTGAGTGAAGGAGGCGGGGATGACAGGAAGATTGTACGTACATTTGAAGCTGCCGGGCTTGAGCCAGGCTGGGGGCTGTCCGGCGACCCATTGCCGCCCTGCTTGTCAGTCCCCCTGCAGAATCGGTCCCTCCCAGCCACCCCAACCCATCATCTCCCACGTGCACTTCCCCCCCCCCCACGGCCGCGCCAAGCCAGCAACGGCAGCATGGCCCCCCCCTGCAGCCCCTCGACCACCCTGGCGGGGGCTCCCTCTCCCCCCCGCCCCTCGACTCCCCCGCCCGACGATGGCCTCAGCGTCTCCGCCCCGCTCTACGAGCTGGTGGACTGCGTGTTCCAGCTGGCCACCCGCGGCTTCTTCCGGCGCCAGGTCTTCGCCGTGGCGCGCCAGGTGCTGTCCCTCGTGGCCGGCACCACCATCGACGAGTACCTGACCGCGCGCCTGCGCTCCCTGCGCTCCGAGCACACCATCGGCCGGGCCATCGCCGGCATCCAGGCCGCGCTCTGGCCGGGGGGGGTGTGGTACCAGGCCACGCCGCAGTACCGCGCGGTGCAGGGAGGGTGGGTGGGAGCGGGAATCGGGGTGCTGGGCGCTGGGGGTCCCGGGCCTCGCGCGCGGCCGCCCGCCGCGCGCGCCGACAGCTTCCTGACCCCGAACGGGCCCCCGCCGCTGGACGCTGAGGAGGTGCGGGAAGCCGTGGCGCAGCTGCTGCTCACGTGCGCGCCCGCCACCCTCGTCGGGCTGGTGGGCAAGTCTGCGTACACCAGGTGGGGTGATGCGTGGCAGGGAGTTGAGGCGGGGGGCGGGGGGGGGGGGGGGGAAGTGTCACCAAACTGGTGCAGCCTTGATGGGATCAGGGGCACGGCAGGCGGTGGCCGGCCGCAGGGTGGTGCTCTGACCCCACTCCCTCAACCTCCTGCCATGCCCACTCTTCCCCTGTCCCCCTTCAATGGAGCAGTGGCATGGAGGACGTGATCGAGATGATGCAGAGCGAGACGCTGATCCTGCAGCTAGGGTACGGCGCGCTGGAGATCCTGGCTGTGCACCTCATGCCCGAGCTGAAGCCCTTGTTCCTGAGCCTCAAGCATGGCGGCCTGGGCAGGCCAGATGCTGATGAGGACGGGCCAGACATGTAATGCAGCCTGGTGTGGCGCCAGAGATACCATGGGTGGCTGTGCAGGAAGTGAGCAGGGTGTCAAGCGGAGGCAGATTTCGGGGGAAGGGGTCCTGAAACATCCCCCAAAAATCCAACAAGGCACGGTTGAAGAGCATGACCAGATCCAGCAACAAGAACAAAAACAGCTCGTCACGGGGACTTCCCACGTGGTCACCCACCGCAGTACTATTCCCGCCCAATCCAGCTTAATTGCCGAGGTCTAATGGGATCGGATGTGTTCTGGATGGTATGAACGAGCCATGGGAACCGAAAATGATGCCGTGATTAGGTACCGGCAATCGCGTGCGCCGCCAAACGCGATACCCGTTTGCATTGTCACGGAGAACAGTCGTGGGAGTGTCCTTCTAGATGTGGTATTACCTCATCGAGTTCTTGAGAATCTTCCCTATTATACACTCACCAGTTCACTCTCGCTCGGCTCTGGAGGACTTTTATCCCGTGCATTGTGTGATATAAGGACTCGCCACCTTGGATCTCGCGCCGCCGTCATCCAAGGGCATCTCTGAGTGGCAATCCGCATTGAGATACCTGCAAGACGATCAAGATACAACGAGTGATACCCTGGCTGCGGGCATTCCTCACGCCCTCTTTTACCTCTTCCACATCAAGGAATGGCAGATAGTCCCCTGAGAATTCGGCAGAGAGCGGGCTCGGGAGTGCATGCTTCCAATACGATAAAAGCAGGCTTCTGCACAGCGCTATTCCTTTTACACCTTGCCACCTCGCTTCAAGGCATTCCACTCGAGCTATCTTTTCCGATTACCCTTTGCCTGGACCAGGCATGTCTGTAGCCATACTGGTGGCAGTTTTGGGTAGTCACAGAAAAGCATGGCAATGTAAAGGGTCGGCTGTCCCCCAGCGTGAGAGCAGGGCCTTTCGGAAACATTGTCTCAAGACATCAGCCTATCCCTCTTTGCCCTGCGCTGCAGTCTGCCACACCCTCGAGGGAGTGGCTTGCTGGCTGCGCACATGGCTCCACCTCTCATCGCCCATTCCGCTCGGTGATTCGGCGACCCAGGCAGCGCGCATACGCCTGCGCCTGCCCGGCCAGCGGCGTCAGATGCCGAGGTGGGGAGCGGCATGCCCCACGCCGTCCTTGCAGCTGATCACACGCCCAAGCCCCACTAGACGTCGCCGTAGGTGACCGCCTCCCGGGCCGGCGCGGGGGCATGCGCCGTGGCTGGTTTTCGCTCCGCGGCTTCCGCCGCGATGCCTCCCAGCGCCTTGGAGAAGATGGCTGCGGGGATGCCCGCCGGCACGGCACGCGGCCTCCTGTCCCTTCCCCGTCGCCGCCCCGGGTCCTGCAGGGAGGTTGTTGTGAGCTGGGGCGTTCATTTCTATGGAGGCATGCCTTGCTGTGCAGCGCAGTGTCCAGACACCCCCCCCCTTTGCCTCCCACCCGATTTCCAGTGCCACATCCATCATTCACGCTCCTCTCCAGCACCAGACATGCTCCCACCTCTTCAGCCACGCCCCAGCCGCGACTCACCCCCTGCTCGCCCCCCTCCCTAGCATCCGCCATTTCCTCGTCGCCGTCCCTCTGCCGCTTCCGGGCCTGGGCGCCCCGCCCGCCCTGGCCCCTGCCGCGCTGGCCTGCCTGCCACAGCCTGCGCGACTGCACCTTGCCCTCCGGCCGCACGTCGTCCACGTTGGCGATGCGCATGAGGAGGTCGGAGGTGGCGCCGCGCACCTCCTCCGCGGTCTTGTGCCACAAGTATTCCATGTTGGAGGGGTCTGCGGCGTCCAGACCTGTGTGTGTGCAGAGGAGGCTTGGGATACCAAGGTGCCAGCCGCCGAGGCGGGAGCAACGAGGGGCTGGAGTCTGCTCCATGCACACCCATGCACCAGCAGGTGCAGCCGGGCAAGCTGTGACTGGGCCTGCGCAGCACCTTCTCCACCCACCAATGCATCTACCCACGAAGCGAAAACCCAGCCCTGCCCCTGCTCTGCCACAGCAAAGAACCACTCCCCACCCATCTCACCTTGGAGCTCAGAGCCTTCAGCGGGGGGGAGGGCCTTCCCGAGGCCTGCCAGGGCTCGCTTCGCGCTCGGCCCGTCGGCGAAGAGGACGTTGCAAGAGGAGTCGTTGATCCACTCCACAAAGGTGGGGCCATAGTCTGCAAAGTGCCGCAGGATGTCAGCGGTGGACAGCAGGTCCACGCCGTACACATACACAGCCTCTCGTCGCAGGGCGGTGTGGAGCGATGGCTCTGCCCGAACCTCCAGCAGGTCTGAGGAGAAGGGGGGGTGAAGGCACAGGGGTGGAACGTGGGGAGGGCTTTGGTGATATATGGAGGTGCCGAGGAGAAGTTTCGAGGCAGTACGGAGTAAAACGAGGCAATACGGGGTAACGACAGCACAAGTTCGCCGCAGATTCTGGGAATGGAAAGGCGGCAACAGCGGCCTGTGTCCATTCATTCGCTCCCGCAAAGGCACGGGCTGCGCATGCTCGAGTGAGAACAGGTCCAGGCGCACATGCCTGCCCAGGGCTGGCACGGCACACCTCCCTGCCGCCCATACCCACCGACGTCCATGAGGGCATCGGCGGGCTTGTACTCGGTGCCAAATCGTGCGGCGCGCTGCGCCCGCTTCTCCTCTGCCTCGTCCTTGGCGGGGGGCTCCCACTTCAGGCCCGTGTCAGACATCCCGAACCGACCTGCCCGTTGCTCCCGCTTGGCAATCTCCTCCTTTTGCATGGGGAGGGCGGTTGATGCCGGGCAGGGACGTGCAGGCATGCTGGGAAAACCGCGCATGGCCAGCTTGGCTATCGTGGGCACTCTACTCCCCACCCTCCGCTTTACCTCGGTGAAGAGATCAACGCCTGTGGCAAAGCCGGGGCGCTGCAACCTTTCCTTCTTTGACGCCAGCCTCAGTTCTTGCCGATGCCCAGGCTCGACGAAGTCCACCCCGAACTTCTCAGCTCTGCAGTTTGTGTAGAGGATGGGTGATAGTTACATGCAGCTGAGCGCCCTGGAGGGCACTGCACACATCCCACTGCTGATGGATGGGACCACTCGATGTAAAGACTCCTACCTTCTTCGATGCTTTTCTCTTTCCTGCTGCAGCACTGACTCGTCCTGTGCCGGAGAGTCGCCGTCTCCCGTCCACTGGATGCCACGGCCCGATGCTGGGGCCTCATCCGACGTCATATTTACAGCATGAACTTTTGATACGTGAGGAAACGCAGATCGCCTGTGCATTGCTGTGGCAATGAGGCAGGACGATCGTGCTAGTGCGTTTCGGTGATCGCGCGCGGAAACATCTCTCAAGGGCGCCTCCAGAGGGTGGTGGAGAACTTTGTTAGATTGTTAGTTGTAGCGAATCTACCGCGCTGTCGCCTCTCCCATTCATCACAGCTCTGCAATTACAGCTCTGCAACACCACTCCCATGCATGATGTGCTCTGTGGGGAGCTCCCATGCGGCACTGGTCAATTCTGAATGTCCACGAACTTAGGAATTGCATGCATGCGAGGGTTTCCATGCTTGCAACTCTCATGCAAGCTCTCCCTCACTGTCAGGGATTCCAGCAAGACCGGCCATCACGCGCCGTCGTCGGCGCCATCCACCCCCGCAGCAACGGCCGGCGTGGGGCCGAAGACTTGCCGCATGGCCGGCTCCGCCGTGCCCTTGCTCTTCAGCTCCTCCTCCAGGATGGAGGCCAGCATGCCCTCCCGCTCCTCCGGGTACCTGAAAGATGGAAAGGGTGGTGGGAAGAGAGGGGTGGGCAACATTTCAGGGTCATGGGAGTCGGCACAGTAGGGCCGCCGAACAAACTAAAGGCGGTTTGGCAGCGGGCTGGGATGAGGCACACACACGCACATCTCACCACCAGTCTACTGCCACCATGGACAGATCATTCAGTGGACTGGTTGACCCTTCTACTTCCCTCTCTCCCCCTCCCACCACACACTCATCGCACCTGGTCCAGGGCAGGAAGGACCTGTCCAGGTCCTTCAACTTTTCCAGGGACGGCAGCCTGCCCAACGCAGCGCGGCACTCCACCCGGTCGTCAAACCAGCCCTGCGCATGAGTGTGTTTTGCTGTCGAGTTTTGACCCCAGCAAGACTCAGTGCTGCATGCATGCATGTACATGGTTTTCTGGCACCCTGACTCCGCGACGCCGTCACCCACTGGATCGTTCAGGTGTGGCACATACTGACAGCGCGGCGACATGTGCATCTGGGGATCGCATGGACCGTTCGGTCGCCTCTCTTGCCTCCTCAGAGCCCCCACCTTATCCCCAACACCCCACCTTGACGGTCTCCCCCAGCTCCTGCCCCCCCCAGTACTCCTGGAAGTCCTCGTGCCCCTTGCCCAGGACCAGGATCAGGTCCTTGGGCTTGGCCATACCGATGGCGACACGGATGGCTGGATTTGGTTTGTGGAAAAGAGGAGATGAGGGTCTGTGGGTTGAGGGCCGCGCCTGGAGGCAGGGGTCGCATCGCCGTCATGGGGTCATGAGTGCCAGCACTCCTTGTTCGCCTTCCCACTCCCTCATGACCTCACACACTCCCCGGTACACGCAAACACACACACACTCGCGTGCCCACATCCATGCCTCCCGCTCCCCCTTCTCTGCGGGTACCTGAGAAGCGGTCCTCGATGACGTACCGCCCCACCTCGCTCTGGTACTGCGTGAGGAAGCTCTGGTACCACTGCGGCACGCGGTGCGGGTCCTGGAGCCAGGGGTAGGCCGCACCCAGGTTGCGGTGGCGCACTGCCTCCGGGAAGCCGGCCACGACGTGCGAGATTATACGGTCGGGCCAGTCCCGCCCCGGGCTGTCGTTGGTCAGGAAGAGGACGTCGGCGCCAGCGTGGGCGGCGGCGCCCAGCGCGGCGCGCGCCTCGGGCGTCGCGTCGCCGCGGCCGCCCAGGACGACCAGCAGCCGGCGCGCGCCGAGAGCCGAGGCGTGGCGCAGCGCGCGTGCGACGCCGGCGGGGCTCCGCGCCGCGTCCACTGCCACGCTGAAGCCTTGGCCCTCGTCGATCACCTCGGAGCGGCCGGGGATGACGTCCACGCCCTCCATCCCCGCCACCACCGCCGGCAGCGGGATGGCCAGCGCACAGCCGGCGGCCACTGCCGCCAGCGCGTTGCCCACGTGCGCCGCGCCCAGCAGTGGCAGGATGACCTGCAGGCGGCCGGCGGGGGTGGTGACCACCACCTCGCTCTCCCAGATGCTGTGCTTGGTACGCTCCGCAAACACGTCGGCGGGCGGGGAGCCGGGGGGGGTGGGGGCGGTGGACATGCGCAGGACACGCGCGCGGCCCGCCGCCGCGACCGACGCCGCCAGCTCAGCTCCAAAGGCGTCTGCGTGATGACTTGGACAGGGGGATGATTCAAAGGGGAAACATGTGGAGGCGGGAGTCGATGAATTGTGCCACCACGGGAGTGGATGGTATGAACCAAACATGAGTTTGTCTGGGGATTCAGGGCGCAGAGGACCCTCGCCGCGTCCGCCCCGGGCGCATGCCGGCAAAGAAAAACGCATACCCCTCCCCGGAGATCACGGGCGAGTCCGCCACCCTTACCAGTCACGTTGATCACGGCCGTGCTGCCGGGCGCCAGCCGCGCAAAAGCCTGCTGGATCGCTTGGCAGCAGGCTGCCGGGGTCAGACCCACGGGCAGGTCGTCGTCCAGGAGGCAAGTGAAGACCAGCACGTCGGGGGCGATCTCCGGCACCGGGCTGTGAGGCAGAGGGACTGGTGTGTGGTCAGAGTGGGGGGCACTTGAGGATTGTGAGCTGAAACGAATCTGTTTGTGGAGTCACAGATGGCCAGCGTCCAGCAATGCCCCCTCCATGATCCCCACCCTCCCTTCCCGTCCCTGCACCCACTCGTCCCGTATGAGGCTCTGGAGCGACAGCTCCACCACGGCGTGGGTGGCGCCCCGGTCCTTGACCCCAGCCAGCACTTTCTGGAGGTGTAGGGGGTCCGGTGTGGTCTCGGGGCACCTGCGCATGCACCACGGAGGGAGAGTCCTCAGGTTCCAGGGTGGCGGAGCATCACTGAGGTGCACATGCAAATGCACAAGAGGGGTGGTGGTCCAGCTGCACACAATGCAAACCGCTTTGGCCTGTCCACGACACGTCCCAGGGATTGCACGAGATGTGCTTTGCCGCCCCAAAACCTGTTGTTATTTCACAAAGCCAAGTCTTTCCACACCAGGCCACAACAGCCCCCCAGTCCCTGTCTCTGCAAGACTCACCCGTACTTGCCCTCGTAGGGCAGGATGTGGAAGGGGGAGGACGACTCCCTGTCCGCAGAGGGGTCGTCCTCCTCGGGCGCCCACAGCGCCCCCTCCTCGTCCAGCCGATCCTCTGCGATCGCGTACTCTATCGTCCCTGGCGACGGTGGAGGGGGGAGTAAGAGGCGACTGAGCCGTGCTGGCTGGGCGGGACAGAGACACAGCTGCTTCGGGCCCTGGGTTGCAGGCGCCCAGGGAAGGACGTGACGACGGGCGATGTGAGCACACGCCTCTGGCACACCCTGGCCGCACACACCTATCATGCCGGTCAGCGCCCCCGTTTCCTCCAGCAGGCCCCGCGTCAGCCAGGCAGCGGTCGTCTTGCCGTGCGTCCCCACGAATGCCACGGTCTTCAGGCTGCGGCTGGGGTTCCCTGCGCACACGGGGGGATGCCAGGCTCGGTGAGCGAGGGCCCTGTCTGGGCCTGGGCCGAGGCCGGCGACCCGCACGCATGTGCAGCCCCCCAGGATGGCTGGTCCTGGCTGCCAAACATGGCACGAACAGCCGCCATATGTGAGGGACAAAGGGTCAGGGACTGGAAACCCTGCAGGAGATTGGCCACTCCAGCCGGGTCCGATTGCACCCAGCTGAGTCGCCTTCCAACACCCTCTCCTGCTAGCGCAGCAAGGACCTCCCCCATCAACGGAAAACTCCCTCGCACGCACCGTAAAACGCGGCCGCCAGGCGGCCCAGGCTGGCCGCGGGGTCGGCGACCCGCAGCACGGGCACGCTGCACTCCGGCACCTCCCGCCCCGCCTGGGCCAGCACGGCAACGGCGCCCTGGTCGGGCGCCCGGTCAGCAAAGTCGTGCCCGTCGGCGTCGGCATCGGTGGCGGGGACGCAGACATACAGGGCCTGGTCCAGGCCCTGGGGTGAGTTGCAGGTGAGCAGGTTGGAGATCTCCAGCTCCGGGAGGCTGGAAAATGGGAGCTCCGCGCCATCGGGCCCGAGCGCCACCACCCCGGCCGCCTGCAAGAGGTCGCGCAGCCGCCAGCGCCGCTCGGGTGGCTCGGGGTACTCATTGCGACGCAGCTCGTGGGGGCCCTCCGGCGCGTCATCCAGCAGCTCGTCCCCAGACTCGGCCTCCGGGTCTGGAGGCATGGGTAGAATTGGGAGTGGGGGAGGGTCGGAGTTGTCCCTGGGCGGCTAAAGGTGAGCACTGGGTCTCGGCGCAGCCAGCGACCGCCGCCCGACATCAGACGACCACACCCGAGGGGAGGGCTGCCATACACATCAATCCCACCCAACATCCCTCAGGCTCCCATGCCCTCCTCACCCGTGTCCTCGCCCTCCTCGTCCCCCAGGTGGCCCTGGATTATGTCATCCAAGCCGATGACCTCATCGTCATCCTCATACTCGTCCTCCAAGGACGCCTGTGCGCCTGCCTGTGCCGCAGCCGGGGTGCCCTCGCCCTGACCCAGGATGTCATCGAGGTTCACTGCTGCATGCGGGGGGGTCAGAGGGGGGTTAAGGAAGGCCAGCAGGTGCTGGGGCCACCTGATGAATATGTCCACGCCCACAACAGCAACGCTACAACCCACTATCGCGCCAGGCCAAGACCGAATACAGGTCCCGCCTCCCACCAAGGATGCTCCCTGCCTACCTTCCTCCACCTCTGCATCGCCGGCAGACGAGGCATGGCCGTTCCTGTTGTTGCCGCTCAGTGCATGGACCAGGTGCTTTGGGGCTGGACGCTGCGGGCGCTCCGCCCGGAAGGCAGGTCCATGACTGGGCAAATGCAGCCATCTCCCCGGGCGGAAGAGCGCCGCAGGAGGTAGGGGCCGTGCTCGGCCGGCCGGGGGGAGGGTCCTCGGGCAGTGCACCTTGACACTGCTAACCATGGCCGCCTGTGGCCCTGCCCAGCGCTGCGATATGCGACCGCTGGCCTCAATGATTGGGAAACCACTCGATCACACGGAGGCGTGCTTCATGAGGCCGGCCAGCCTGGCGATGGAGGTGTGCAAACTGCCGAGAACCGAGCGATAGGCCGGTGGTCTGGCGTGAGCAATGCAACGACACCCTCCCTGTCGAGATCAAACTGCATATGAGGAATATGAGTGGAGGTTCAATACCCAAGCTGATTCCCGGCAGGTGCCACTCCATGCATAGGGGCCCGAGCACGAGTGCTGCGCGGGGCTCCCAGCGCCCTGGCTGCCCTGGGCCTTATCCGAACCGCCCGCCCAGAGCGCGCTGGAGCGATCTCCAACCCCACCGATCCCAACAAGGCAGCTGATCGCCTGATTGAAAACCCGGAACTCGGTACATTTCCGATTAGCAGTCGTGTCCAAGCGCAGGGAGGTGGAGAGGGTGCGACATGTCCCCACCTCTGCTTCACACTGGTGGGGTCCGGGCCTCCGGGCCACTCGGCCCTGGCGCCCTCCCCAGGCACGGCACCGGCCTCTCCCCGGCCCTGCGCACCCCTCCCGCGACCAGCACCTCCAGAGACTCGAGATCCGGGGCATCGAGGGCAGGGGCAGCACCTGGGTCCGACCCGTCCCTGCTGGTGGTGGGCCCGGGTGTGCTAGGCCAGCACCTCGCCAAGCTGTGGATGGACGCTCATGGCCCCGGCACGGTGGCTGGCCTGACGCAGACGGACTCCAACCATGCCCGGTGTGTGTATACCCTTGTTCATGCAAGGGGATGAGCGGCGTCATAGTGCCATGGAGGCATCAGGGGGACGGGTGCAGGGTGCCTTTGAAACCCCTCCCGGGAACACGCAGGGCGCGGCCCCGCCTCTCCTCCACAGCCCAGAGCCCCTCACACTCCACGCCCCACCCCTCTGGCACAGGCTGCGGCGGCTGGGCATCGCGCCGCACTCCCTGGCCGACCCCCCAACCTCCACCTTCCGAGACGTGGTCTTCTCGGCCCCACCCTCCGCCAGCGCCGACTACCCCGGCGAGGTGGCGCGCGCGCTGGAGCGCTGGAGCGGCGAGGGCGCCTTCGTCTTCACCTCCAGTGCGGCGGTCTACGCCGTGGACGGGGGCGAGGCGGCGCGTGAGGACTCGCCGGTCGTGGCGCTGGGGGCCTTGCCGCGCACCGACCGCCTGCTGCGCGCAGAGCGGAGCGTGCGGGCGGCAGGGGGGTGCGTGGTGCGCCTGGTGGGCCTGTACCACTCCCTGCGGTGCGCTGGGCGGGGGAGGCGC